TAAGTTGGACCACAGGTAAGTTGAAGTAGACGACCTCCTAACTACCATTTCAGTTTTTCGGGAAGTTTAAGAAACCTGCAGTTTGATAATCCGATTTTTCCGCAATAAATTATATGATAATACAGATTAGGAAAATCTACAGATATAAATCAACGACACTTCTAAATACAGTAAAATAACAATGCATTTAGCATTTATTAAAGTATATTCCACTGCGTGTCCTAATGTCCAGCACATAAAACCCGATAAGCACCGCTTTCGTAGGAAAATATGCAGGTTGAAGGGATTAATGGGTGGGGCTACATAAGCTACTGTTGCCGTTTAACTTGTATCCCGTCTTCATGCAAATGTATCGGCCCGATGAGAATTTATCGAAAGTACACATAAACTCGCCAATTAATATTCTAAATCCTCCGACGGGAGTTTTCAGGACTCGTTCTCCCATATTGTTTTGGAAAGCATATTTACTGCAGTTGTACCGAAGGGTAACATACCTGAGTGACCTCTGCCTTGTCAATGCGCCGCAGGAGACGTTCAGCTCGTCGTTCTGAGCAGCAGGCCTTGGCCCTGGCCTCGAAGAACGCCCGGATGAGGGTTGGAACACATTCGTCGAAATCACATCGGTTGGTGTGATCTGTGAAGAACTAGAGAAGAGCGGGTTGGGGGAAAGAGAAGATTTTGTATAGAAATGCACAATCTGATCGTCCAGTTAGCTTCGATATAGTCTGCCAGTTTAGACACACACCTTGCCGTGCCAAAGTCTTCACTGTTTGAATTTTATCTACCATTCAGAATATAAAGATATATATACTACTGGCTATCTGTTGACAATTTAAAAATATTACGCAGTTATTCAATTGCGTCTGATGAAAGTTGGCCCAAATATTTATATCAACTGTCAGTCTACGCCTTTAAAGCCTCATAGAGACTTGTGCACTCCAAGTTGGCGATTATTTTTTTTCAGAAAATTAAAAATTACAAAGTTCAAAAATAGCGTATCTACTAAAACGTACACAAAGAATGCTGGGGGGGGAG